TTTAAGTTAGTTCTAAATAATGAGTAAAGTTAAGTACATAAAATATATAATAACATCTTTAATACTACATAAACTTATGGAGTAGTTGACTTCTGTTTTTTTATTTTGCCAACCTGAACGACAGATTAACCTCTGAATTCACTAGTCGAATACTTTATTAATATATATATATATATATATATATATATATATATATATATATATATATATTTAGTTGGAAGATTAAATAATTATAACCATATTTTAGCATATCCTGAAGAAGCGAATAAATTTTGTGAAAGCTAAATAAAAGAACAAAGAGTTTTACTTATTCTGCCCTATTAATGACTGCAACCTCAAAAGACATATATATATATATATATATATATATATATATATATATATATATATATATATATATATATATATATATGTGTGTGTGTGTAGGTAGGAAATTAAATGATTATAACCATATTTTAGCATATCCTGAAGAAGCTAATAAATTTTTGTGAAAGCTAAATAAAAGAACAAAGAGTTTCACTTATTCTGCCTATTAATGACTGCAACCTCAAAAGAAATAGTTTATCTAACGTGTCAGTCAATAATACCTAACTACTATATATAAAATATATATTTTATGAAAATCACATTCCATAGTTTGCAATTTGTGGCATTCGGCCATGGTTCCCTCCATCAAACTTCACTCTTATGGGAAAATTGTTATTTTTTACATTATACTAATTTAAACACTTAAGCTTAAATTCACGTAGTAAATAAAACATCTAGTAAATTATATTAGAATTTCAACAGTTCGTTTCATCCACAAGCATGAATACATTTTGAAAATTTAGCACAAGGTGACGTCATGCGCGTGAGTGTACGAGTTTAGTGCGTGGTAATATCATATCTGGTATCCTTATATCATGCAGCTTGATGAATAAATCGGCAAGGGAATCTAAAATTTCACTCCAAATGCCGTTCATCATGGCCAATATTCGTAGTGAATTCGATTTCTGGTACTCCAAACGAAGTAAAGAAATAAAACACAATGTCGGTATTAGATTTTGATTCGATACAGAGCAGCTACAAGCCGCATATACGTATTTTGATCTCCTAGGTCTCCTCAGTACGGTATAGCAACTACTCCGTATCGAACCAAAATATTTTCCCGTCGTAGACCATAGTTATTAAAAATAACTATGTACAGACGTAACGACGCCATCTAAGAACAAAAAGAGAAATCATACGATTTCTACCTGGCGAAATCGAATTTAAATATAAGCCATCGTGCTTCCTAAAACTTGAACGAAAACGAACGAACGAAACGAAAACTTGAACCAAATGAACGGCATTTGGAGTGCAATTTTAGATTTCCTTGCCGATTTATTCATTAAGCTGTTTGCTTCGCAAGTTTTAGGAAGCACGGTGGCTTATATTTGAATTCGATTTCGCCAGGTAGAAATCGTATGATTTCTCTTTTTGTCAAATAATATAACACTACAGTAACATAATTAAAGCATTAAATAACAATAATCACTTTAAATATTTAATTTTTGATTTTAATCAAAGGAAAATTGTTTAACCTAACCCTCGTCTCAATCCACGCACCAACAGAAGAAACGACACTTCCTGGTCAGAACAAAAATGAGAACAAGTCTAAAGACGAGACAGCGAAAGCAACGCCAACAAGGAAACAGATGGGACATTTCAAGGCTCGATTTACCTGATAATAAATGCCAATATCAGGCGCTGATCCAAAACAAATTGCAAACACTGGACGGAGAAAAAACATCAACGCCAGAATTGACCATAGACTAGAAATGGCAAAATATAACTAACGTCATAGAAAGTGCCGCAGCTGAAAATATAAGAAAATAAAGGAGTAACAAGAAGAAAAACCAAAGGTCTGACCAGGAGTGCGAACAAAGCTTGCATCAAAAAGCAATCAAGGGGCTAGAGTTACTAACACGCCCTACAGATGAGAACAGGAAATACTACAACAGAGTAAGGACTCAAACGAGAAGACTTTTAAAAAGAAAAAGAGCGCTACAGCTCTTTTTCTTTTCAAAAGTCGAAAGATACAGCAACTGAAGGACGAACATAAAACCGGTCAGTCTATACAGTTTTATAAGGACCTAAAAATAATAAAGGGCAACACCACCAACAGCCCAAGATTTATAAAAGACGATGAAGGACAATTGCTCACAGACGACGAGGACATAAGCCGTCAATAGAGAAAGTATTTTGAGCAACTCTTAATTACAGAAAACCCCACAATGACAGGGCAACAAAGACAGTAATAGTTAGCCGAACCTGAAATACCAGGGTCCACACTAAAAAACCACAAAGCCCCAGGCCCAGACGGCATACAGGCGGAACTACTAAAAAAAGGAGAAGAAAAGCTCCACCTTGAGATATATCATCTTACGAGAGAAGCGTGGGAAAGAGAAAAAATACCGAAGCACTGGCATGAAAGCCATATAGTAGCTATTCACAAGAAGGGAGACAAACAAATATGTCGGAACTATAGAAGAATATCGATAATCAATACAACGTACAAAATTATATCCTTAATACTGTATAGAAGACTAACTTCATACGCAGAGGAAATAATAGATAACTACTAACGCGGATTCAGACCGGGAAGGTCAACCGTAGACCAGATATTCGTCCTACGCCAGGTATGGGAAAAAACTGGGAATTCAACCGCGATGTACACCAAAAATCTTCGTGAACTTTAAACAAACTAACGATTTTGTTAGCAGAGAAGCATTGTGGAAGACCATTGTGGTAGAAATGAAAGTACCTGAAAAGCTCGTACGATTAGCACAGCCGACCACAGAGAACGCTTCCACACGGATCAAAATTGGCAGCACCACGTCGGAGGAATTCCTCATTGACATCGGACTTAGACAAGGAGATCCTCTCGCCGCCCTTCTATTTAATTTTGCACTGGAACATGTGGTAAAGGTAAAGGAAAGCTCAACTACAACTGACAAACAGATTTGCCGCCCAAGCATCAAAAATACTATTGGCGTTTGCGGATGACGTGGACATAATTGCACAATCCACCAGAAATGCAAAAGAAGTTTTCACCCAATTCAAACACGGAGCCAAGGAAGTTGGTCTGAAGGTCAACGAGGACAAGACCAAATATATGGTGCTTACGAAGAACCCAAGGGTTAGACAAACGTAACAATCAATGAATACAACTTTAAAGTCGTCAAAGAATTTAAGTACCTGAGAGCAATCATAACATCTGAAACTAAATAGAAAAGAACGTGTCACCCAGGATCACTGTAGGAAATAGTGAATATTACATATTAATGACCATACTCAAATCAAAAATACTCTCAATACCAGCAAGAATAAGAGTGTATAAGACAATAACATATGGAAGCGAGACATGGACTCTGAACCAGAGGGAAACGGCAAAATTACTGATACTAGAAATAAAGATACTGCGGACTATCTATGGGCCTTGAAGAGAGGAGATAACAGGAGAATGGGGAAGAAGACACAATGATGAACTCCAGACAGTATATGGAGATGAAAATATAGTACGCTACAATAAAGCAAACCAAATAAGATGGGCGGGCCAAATACTAAGATCAAGGGACGAAAGACTTCTGAACCTCACATTCTGGGAAAGGCCCGATGCAGAAGGTAAGAATGGGAAATAGCTGCTCAGGACCGATAACAATGGAGGAAAATAGTAAACGCGGCCAAGATTCACCTAGAGTTGTAAAGCCAAATGATGATGAGAATGATGATTTTAATGACCAAGTGGGAAAGGGAAATATGTAAAATTATGTAGTCATTGAAAGAAATGAAAGGGAAGAAATTCTGTTTTATTTTATACACTACCAAAACATACCTATAGCAATTAAATTCCTAAGATTCCTAAAGATTTAGGAAGGTAGATTGGAACGTCAATAAACTTATTTTAACTTTTAATTGCGGCTTATTACCATTAAAATCATAATTACTGTAAAATGCCACAAGAAAATAGTACCAGAATAATACAAAAAACTATAAGGAAACAAGAAAAACAATAAACATTGGAACGAAGCAAATAGTTGCTCTAACAAACGAAAACACCAGATAGACAGAGATAAAATAATACGTGAAACTGATTATATAAGCTGGCAAGAAAACATGGAAATATTAGCACGCCTATTTACGAACTGTCTAAGATCAAGATACCGACCAAACCACTGCAATTCAGCAAACATAAATCTCCTTCATAAAAAAGGTAGCAAAAAGGATATCAAAAACTATGGACCGGTAAGTCTACTACCTATCATATTTCCAAAGATCATAAACAATAGATTAACAATATAAGTTAAATGCACTTTATGCATCTGAGAACAACCAGGATGTTAATAGAAATCTTCTACTTTCAATGTACCGATACTCCATAGAATTAATCTGTTATTATTAAGGGCGTATCAGGGATTTATTATATATATATATATATATATATATATATATATATATATATACATAATAAATATATTAATAATGTAAATGGAGTTTCTCTATCGTATAATACCTCTGTAGTACATGAAATACTTATTCATTAGATTTTTTTATTCATAAAAAACAAAACAAACATACTTTTAAAAACACTAGAGGACTAGATATATGAAATTCTATGAACCGCAAGTTACTGTGTAAAATTTAATATAAATAAAAAACAGAACACGCCACCGAGCAACACCAAAATAAATATATGTAGATATTACTACATTAAGCGATAGGACAAACCATTAGGAAGGTCCTTTAAAAGAGACCGAGATAGCTGGCAGATATATAAATGCAAATAAATCCTTAAAATCGGCCAACGACGTGGTATCAGAAGACGACTAGAAAGTAAATATTATAATATAATATAATAATATGTGTAATTTTCAATTTTTCAATTTTCTATTTTCGAATATCGTGTCAAATATTTTACTAAAGAGATTTTGCATTTTTAACTTATGTTATAAAATAATTAATAATTTTTAAATTTGTAGCTCTTGACGGTTCACCAGCTCTTGGTCCTATATCTCCAGAAGCATCAAAGTATCTAAAGAAAGCAAATTTACCTAGCCCAGCGCCTTCAGCACCAGCAGCTGTTCCAAAACCTTTACCAGCTGCTCCTCAAAAATTTGAAAGGATTCAGGAAGCTCCTCCGCCATCTCCAAGTACCCAAAGGGCTCCATATGTTTTCACCACCCTTAGTACAATTAGACCTGCATGTGCGGGTTGTGGTTTAGTAACGACACCAAAACCAGGAGAGAAATTTGTATTCCAGAATCCCGCATTTAGAAATTCACCAGAAGCAGGTATTCCAGTTCCTAATGGTCCACCTTTATTGGCAAATTCAGGAACCCCTGGGCTACGTTCTAGATTCTCCGATATAGCTCCTGATACAGAGCTATTGCCGCCTGGTTACAATAATAAGATTGTTCAGTCATCTAATGAAAAACCATCTCCAACATCAGGAAAAATTCAAAGTTTTGTCAGTCCACAACAAAGTTTTAATTCTAAATTTAAAAGTCAAGATGACTCTGGTAAACTTTCAACTATATCTAATGGTAACGTAGGCTTTGCAAGACCTACTCAAGTTAAAGGGCCACCAAGTCCTGTTATTAGCAGTAATGTCGAATCAGCCTATCAGCCTGCGGGTAGAACTACAGATGATGGTATTGAAACATTTGGGGATGACAGAATTGCACAAAATAGAGGTGGGTCTTCTGGAAGTTTTAACAATTTGCCACAAGTTAATAATATTCAAAACGGTAATACACAGGCTAAAGGACCCCTTCAAAATATAGCAAAATCTGTTGAAAGTGTGAATGTAGCAGATCAAGTTGAAACTGTAGGAAATAAAAATATCTACTCTCAAGAAAATCTGCAAAATTATCCACAAGGTATGTAACTACTACCAAAAAATTTCATTTTCTACTTTTTTCTTTTTCTTCTTCTTCGACATTTTACCAATATGAGTTCGTCCTTTTAATAGTTCACATCTTTATATCCTTACTGTCATCTTCTCTAAGATCACTCTCCATTCTTGAATTTCCTGTATAGATGGTATTTCTCTTCATCTTTTACCTGGTGGTTTCTAATTCATTACACTTTTTGGTCACCTGTGACCCAGCTTTTTTTAAACATGACAGTACTATTGTAGTGTTCTCTTTTCAAAATTTTTTGTTATTGATCATTCGACTTTTTTCTGGTTCCATGTTTTTTTAGTCCTTATTCTACCTCTTCTGGTAATTTAAAGACATCTTCTTATAAAATCTCATTTGACTGTTCTTATTTAATTTCGCATTGTTGTTGTCATTGGACATACTTCCGATCTATATAGGCTAATGTTTATCACGATACTGTAAAGTATTGTTGCTTGATTTCTTTAATAAAAGTATTGTTTCACATCGACTAATAAAGTTTGTTTGTAATTGTGTTTTCCCCGAGATGTTTTCGTATATAATATCATAAGAGAAAATTTTGCCTGCAATATTTTCAACTATTTTCTAATATTTTGTATGAAAGTTTGTTGGCTGGCAATTTTTGCGAATTAAATTTGGATAGTTAAATCACGAGACGTCAGTCGAGTCAATTTATCTCAGTCTTCATTGCGTTTATTTCTTGTATTTCGATCGTCAAATCTCAAAGCTGTTAATAGAAAACTAAGTTTTTTTGCTATCATTCTTCTTCTTCTTTTTCTGGTTCCTATCCGTTACGGATGTTGGAAATCATATTGACAATCATAACCTTGCTCGCTGCGGCTCGAAACAGCTCCGTTGAGGTTTTCTTAACAAGGTTCTTAAATTCCGCAGCCATGATATTCTCCTTCTACCGGGTCCTCTCTTACCTTTGACTTTACCTTGCAATATAGACTGTAGCAGGGAGTAACGGTGCTGATTTCTCATAACGCGTCCCAGATATCACAGTAAACACAATCTCTGGTTCCTTCTTTATTTTTCCTAGAACTTTCTTGTTCGTGATCCTTGCTGTCCATGATATTCTCAGCATTCTTCTATAAAGCCACATCTCAAATGCTTCAAGTTTTTTAATAGTGGTGTCTGTAAGCGTCCATGCCTCTGCCCCGTACAACAACACAGAGAAAACATAGCATCTCAAATGTCTCATTTTTGTATCAAGGGATATGTTGTGACTTTTGAAGATGGCTCATTTTGTTAAAGACCGTTCTTGCATTTCCTATGCGGCACTTTATTTCCTGTAAATTGTTCCACTGTTCGTTAATAATAGTTCCCAGGTAACAATACTGTTTTACTCGCTCTACCTGCGTCCCATTAATGTATAGATGAGCCCCGTTTATATTCTCCTTGCTGATAATCATTTGTTTCGTTTTGTGGGTATTAATGTTTAGTCCGTACTGTTGACTGTACTCGTTTATTCTGTCCATTAGCCTCTGAAGTCCCTCTAAACTATCTGCTATCAAATGCCTTTTCATAGTCGATCAAGCACGCGTATACGTCGCAGTTAACGTCCCTGCATCTTTGAATCAGTACCTGTACTCCGAAAAGTGCCTCTCTGGTAGCCACTGCGTTAATGAAGCCGAACTGTCTGTCCGATATTTGTTCCTCGCACTTCTTATAAATTCTTCCATGGATGACTCTAAGAAACAGTTTCAACATATGGCTCATTAGGCTGATTGTTTGATATTCTTCGCACTTTTTAGCCCCCTGTTTTTTAGGTATCGCTATGAATTCTGATTCTAGCCATTTATCAGGGATGATTCCTGTATTGTATATTTTATTGAAGACAGCCGTGATCCAAATTATTCCTTCTTCCTCCAAGAGTTCACAAAATTCAGCTTCGATATTATCAGGCCCTACACTACAGTTTTCCTGCTTTTCATCCATTTTATTGCTTCTTCTACCTCGGATTTAAGTATGTCCGGGCCCGTCATCCTCTCTGAAAATGGCTGCTTATAATCCGTTCTTTGATCTTGAAAAAGTGTCTCCAAATATATTCTCCATTTCTCTTTCATCTCTTGGGTGTCAATGATTAATTTTCCATTGGTGTCTATGAGTTTCATTTGTATTTGCTTTTTAAAAGTACCCGTTATTTCTTTGACTTTTTTGTGTATATTAAAATTGTCAAGCTTGGCTTGTAGTCTTTCTATTTCTGTACATTTCTCTACAGCTTCTTTTTCTTTAGCTTCTCTTATTTCTCTTCTGATATAAGCCTGCATTTTTTTATACTTATCTTTATTTCCTTTAATTAACCTTCTGCGTTCCATTAAGTGAAGGATTTCTGGAGTCATCCAAGATTTCTTCTTTGTTTCTTTGTTTGGTTTTAACAGATCTTATTTAGTTTTCTTAATTATTTCTTCGAATTGATTGATTTCTCGTTGGATGTTATTTTTTCTTTTAGTTGTTTAACTTGATTCAATATATTCCCCCACTTGCTTTTTAACTTCCCGGTGTTGCAGGGCTGTCATGTCGTAGTTAGGTCTAGATTTTTTCTTTATTGTCTTCAGTCTCACATCCATGACTCCCACTAAAGGTATGTTTTGACAGATTTAAAACTGTTTCTGAATCTTCTATTTACCAATATATAATCTGTCTGGTTTCTAATTACGTTATGGGGTTTATCTGCTGGTGCCTTCGATGTATACAATCTCCTCGGCGGTAGTTTATAAAATGTGTTCAGAACCACTACCTTGTTATCTTCTGCGAATATTTCTAGTCTGTCACCTCTTTCGTTTCTTTGTCCTAACTCAAAAGGTCCGATTAGAGACGTTTTCCGTTCGGCCCCAAGTTTTGCATTGAAATCCCCCATTATGATGCTGACTTCATGCTTAGGTATTCGTTCTAATATATCCTCTATGCTTTGGTAGAGAGTCTTTACTTCCTCGTCGTCTTTATCTGCAGTGGGAGCGTATATTTGTATTATGTTTACATTCACTCAATTGGCTCTTATTTGCAGCAGTATTACTCTGTTGGACACTGGGACAAAATTTAAAATACATCTACTAATTTTTCTCGTTATTATCACACTAACTCCATGCTCTAGTTTTCCACCTTGTGACCCTGAGTAGAATATTCTGTGATCTTTTTTGTCACTGCTTCCTGTTCCGGGCCATCTCATCTCACTTATTTCCATTATGTCAATGGTCATTCTTTCCATTTCCTAAATGGCATTGTCTATTTTTCCACTCCTTGCCATAGGTTTCACATTCCATGTGCAAATTTTTAAAAATTGTGGTTTTGCTGTTTTTTCTTTTTCATAGGTACTCATAACTGTCCCCCCTCCCCCCCCGGAATAGAATAGGTATATCATCACCGCTACTATCAGTCGTAAAAATAGATTAATTCTATTTTTACGACTGATAGTATCTTCATTGTTTTCATACAGAATTTATTTTCGCAAAGGTCTAGGAACACATGAAGCTCTTTTTTCACTTAATATTTTGATACAAAGATACCTGGACATCAATCAAGATATATACGCATGTTTTATTGACTATAATAAAGCGTTCGATAAAATACGACATAAACAATTATTAAATGTCCTGAAATCAAAGAAGATTGACTACAACGACCTCAGGATCATATCAGATTTATACTGCAAACAACGAGCAAAAGTACATGTTAACGAACAGCTGTCAGAAGAAATTGAAATTAAATGTGGAGTGAGACAGGCATGCGTTTTATAGCCAATTCTTTTTAATACCTACTCCGAAGAGATCCTGAACAACGCTCTTGAGGATAAAACAGCTGAAATAAAGGTAAATGGAGTTCTTATTAACAACATTAGATATGCGGACGACACTGTGATCTTAGCCGAAAACATTGAAGATCTTTAGAGAGTGGTGACCAAAATAGCAAAGCATGGAAAAGATTATATATAACAATAAATGTAAGGAAGACGAAATTTATGAGAATATCGAAAACGCAAAGAAATAACGAGAGTTTTCTAATAAACGGAACCAACGTCGAACAAGTGGACAAATACGCATATCTGGGAACAATGATTAACTTCACAAATAATTACAATCAGGAAATCAAAATAAGAATAGAAAAGGCTAGAGCAAATTTCAACAAAATGGTAAGAGTGCTATGTACCAGGGATTTAATACAGGTTGGCGAGGTGTTATGTTTTTTCGACTCTATTTTATGAAATGGAATCTTGGACCTTGAATGCTACATTAATGAAAAAACTGGAATTATTCGAGCTGTGGATGTACAGAAGAATTCTGAAAATATCGCAGACAGAACACGTCACAAACAAAGAGGTTCTGGGAAGGATGAATAAAGAATAGGAAATTTTAAATATAATAAAAACAAGTAAATTAGAATATCTCGGACATATTACACGTGGAGAGAAATACACCGTGCTCCAGCTGATTATGCAGGGAAAGATCCAAGGAAAGAGAAGCATAGGGAGGCGTAGAATGTCATGGCTGCGCAACCTGAAAGAGTCGCACAGATGTACATCAAATGAACTTTTCAGAGCAGCCGTCTCAAAAGTCCGAATAGCTATGATGATTGCCGGCTTCCGCCGCGGAGATTGCACTTGAAGAAGAAAAGGATCTTCATTGTTAGACTTGAACACGTCTGAGAAATATATTAGCCCAAAAAAGCTAATATTTTGGTTTTATCAACGTGGCTTAAAAATTGACAGTTAAAAGCGTTACCTCCATAAGTTTTTTGTAATCCTGTAATCGTTTTATTTGTCTTCTTAATAATCGGAACAATAATTGTTTCATCGAGTAATAGTTGAAGGCTTTAGCAGGCGTTGCCGGCATATGGATTCGTGTTGGCCCAGAAAGCTCTGGTAGATATGATACTATATCTGATATACGGTTACGGCTAGACAAAAGCTATTTTCGACAATTTTTTCCTATTTCTTCCATAATAGTAATTTCTCTCGGTTTCCTCTTTATTACTAAAATTTTCGTCCTCACTACTTAAAGCACTGGCCAGTATTTGATGACTCCTAACAGTATCGCCTTGGTCATTATCTTAAGTTCAGAATAACTGTTAGTATCATGATCAGTAATAATTGTTTTGGCGCCAGAAGTATCATCATCCCAATCAAAAAAATGTTCAGCAATATTCTTAACTCCTGCTGGGTTAGAAGTTTCTTTTTATCCTTTAAAGTGACCATAATTATTTAACAACTAGGCACTGAAAACATAACACTAAAGGTATGGTGGGTCAAATTTGACTTGATCAACATGTAACACCTAAGTTGAAGGTGAAAGGCAACTACTACACTTGAGTCTACGTTGAAACCCCTCACAATTTAGATTTACATCATTTACTTTGCGCATGGGCCTCATTCGCGATTCAATCTGACAGCTGCAAATACAGTGTTACCAGAAAAACTTTATCGTGGTCATGTACAAACTAGAGTAGGTAGTTGGTAAGTTTATGTCATTTTTAAGCTACACGTTAAGCAATGTACTCGATGTCGTAGGAAAATACCTGTAAGGTGAGGTTGCCGCATTTTTCCCTCTTTCTGAGAATTAAATAAACTGTTTAATTGGGTTATACTGCCATATCTATTAAGAGTTAATTCAAGCAATGTGTTTGATAAAGTAAAATTGTCTTATAATTAATCCACTATTACCAATTTCAGATAAATTTGGCCGACTTATAGCACCACCCATTGGCAACGGTCCAAATCCACTACTGCAACCTCAAGAAGTAGCTAAGTTGCCACCAGTGATGGTTTCAGATAATGTTATTCATGTAATGGGTAAAAAGCCGATTGATATTCCTATCAAGGACAAATATCCAGGAATGGTGGATGGTTTACCAACTGGAGTAGAGGTGAGACAAATAGCTTCATTAAAATTTCTCATATTTTTCGAAAAAGATTAAACCATAATTATCATTGGCTCTACAACCCATAGTGGGTCGTGACCTGTTCTAAGATCAGCTTTCAGTCCTTCCTATCCTTTGCGTTGGTTTTCCAATTTCGTACTCGTAATGCTTGTCTTGATCCTTAAATCATGCTCTGGACCTGCTTCTTCTCCTCACTTTGGTTATAAATATGTTTCGATGACCCTATCTCGTCTATTCTTTTTAAGTGGCCTATCGACCACAGCCTGTGGTGAATTTTTGACTTTTGATTTAAAATATACTTCACTTTTTCTAATGATAAAATTCATTCATCCTGGATATCTGCAATAACAAAGGACTGAGGACTTTTTTTAAGTTATTAATCCCTAGGTAACATGATATACTAGAGCATCTTTCAAAAAAAATTTATTAATCTGGCACTGCTTTTGCATAGAATTAAAAAAAATTACTAAGACTTAGCTTTTTAACATTAATAATGGGTGTTTTCTACTGTTCTACTATTAAGGACTTTTTAAACTGTTTTTTGTGCTTCATATAAGTCGTGTTCCATGTCTTTGGTAAATCGTGTCCAATAGTCTTTTGTTATGATTTTTATTTTGTAATTAATGGTGTTTCTTGTATCTTTGTAATGTAGTTATGTGTTATTTCTTTTATTAAATTATTCTATACAGGTACTACTAGAGTAATTCTGTATATATAGCTCTTCCCTGAAAATAGTTTTACCGTGACTACTGCTGTATCATTAACTACCATACTACTGACTATTGTTTGTAATTTCTAATGAATTATAAAGTACTTTTTCCTTAACGCTTGTCTCCTATCCAATAAGAGTCTGGATATTTTCTTCAATATGTTATAAGTATGTCAAACCGAGCTTTTTTCATCCAAACTTTTTTTGAATTAACAGTTCAACCAAAATGTCCGTCCTATCTCTTGTGTATGTCCTTTAAAACCTCCTTTATATCAGTAGCTAATAGTTTTCTCTTTATAGTTACCCAATAAAAAAAATAAAAGACATTATTTTAAGACAGGTTAAATTAAATTAACATTTCTAAATCTTCGATCGGAACCATCGCATCGTCTGCAATTTTTTTTTTGTATTTAAAAAATGGTAATTAAGAAACATTAAATTTGTTTTTATACAACAAAATGCTGCGAAAATGTTGCAAACTACAGTACTGTGCAAATTAATAGAATCATAGGCTGTTTTAAAAGTTTATTTCGAAAAAAAAAAAAATGATATTTGGACAAAACTATAGAGATCAACTTACATCATTTAGTAGGAAATATGTTCCCCTTTGGCTGCAAGTACTGCTTCTACCCATTTTGGTGTATATTGTACGAGCTTCTAAAAGTTCCCAGGTATCTTTCATCTCGAAACCAAACCTAAATGACCACTTCTATCATTTTTATTCTAACAGTTCAGTCAATTTTGCGTAGTCTAGCTCTGCAAGTGGCTTTAATGGGGTTAAGTTGAGGGGAATTACCGGACTGATCTAAAACAATAACTTCTTATTTTTGAAAAAAATCCATGATTGGCTTTGACTTGTGACAGGGAGTCCTGTTGAAGAATCGCTCCTCCTTGGGGCTTACATTTTTGGAGTTCTGTGTTCAAGCGCTGTTCCAACATGGATTTATATTTTTGGCTGTTCATCATGCCTTCGATTGGTACCAAAGATCCAATCCCCATGTACAAAAAACATCCCCAAAACATTTTTTTGACTGGATGTTTTTCTACAGTCCAATTAGAGTATTTTTTATCCCAAAATAACCTTTTTTCTTCATTCGTTTAGTTAGAAGTTGTTTTTTCTGTGGAAGCCTTGCCTTCTACCATTCTCTAAAAGTCTTTTCCGAATAGTTGAGTCATGAGTCACTACATATGATGCTGCTAGATCTTGTTGGAGCTCTTGGCTTGTTTTTCTTGGGTCCAATTTGCTCTTTCGAAGTAAAAATCTTTTATTTGCTGGTGTTGTTTTTCTAGTTCTGCATTTTCTAATCTTTTTACATCCACTGATCCCGTTTCTTAGTTACGCCTCAAAATCTTGCTTACTACCCCCTAATTCACTCCACACGTTCTCGCTATTTCCCTTTGTGACATAAAAGTATGTTCACTTAACGTGATAATCTTTTTACGCTTCCTAGGCGTAACATCCATGATGGAATTAAACGAAACAAACTCACTAATTACCGAAAAAAAAAACAAAAAAATAGTACAAAACAACACAAACTTAGTGTTAAATGTCCTAAAACACCCTCAAATAAAAGGCAGGGAAAAGTAAGGTTATGTTTTCAATGCTTGGTCAGTTGTAAATGTGTGAACAGTGTTGCCAACTACGAATATTGAAAAATGTCGCAATGATTCCATTAATTCGAACAATACTGTATGAACATAAAAATAATTCATAATTAAAATTGTAGTTACAAAAAACACCTTTTATGTGAATCTCTTATTCCAATTGTGACCCGACGGGAGTATATTAGTCATCGATGAGTCGTGTATTGTTTGTCTCTAAAGATCTCTATCTCTGGTCCTTTATTTAAACTCATACATAGGTTTTTGCATAATCCTTTAATTTGATCGATCTATCTTGTTGGAGATCTTCCTCGTGATCTTCGGTCTTCTTCCTTTCCTTAGATAATAAGTATTTCCATGTTTTCTGTACCTGCTGTCATAACATGTCCAAAGTACTTTATTTGTAGGAGATGAACTATTATTGTATGTGAACACAAAGCTTTAAAACTTTTTGAATTTATCTATATCTATCTTTTAGGTAAAAGATGTAACCAACATCCTTTACAAATTCAAGTACACCGTTGGCTTCCACGGTCATTATGAAAAAGGTCTTAAGGATGGAAGTAAAATCGGAGGTTACTTCGTCAACGGTCGAGATGGCATCAGCAGAATTGTCACATATGTCGCCGACGAAAATGGCTACAGACCGAAATTCAAATTTATCAATCTTGGACTAGACTCTGCTGATACACCCAATGAAAAAACTGAGAAGACTTTTGGTCTTAAAGATTTTGAGTTTGTCTGGTATCCCGTCGAATAAAAGAAAATAGAATTAATATTATAATTTATTAAATATTATAGTTAGTTTCTTTAATTAGTATATTTTTAAATAAGACATATTTTTATATAAAAGCTATGTAGTTTTTTACCTCCTACTGAATTTTCTAGAAACACATTGGGCAGATAAAGCCCTTATAATACAACTTATTCCTTTGGGTTAACTATAACTTAAAAATGATGCATAATTTTTAATAGTGTAATGAACAGTATTCATGTGTACAAAATAGTTACAATATCCTTCTGTTTTTCCCTTTAGGGTATTTAGATCCTAGAGTAGCCGTTAGACATACTGACAACCAGAGAGCACCTTCTACGATCTATAAAGAAAACTAAGCTGTAAGCTTGTATATGGCTCTATGTGGAGCTTGTCTGTCTCATATATCCACAACTAGCCCAGAACTCTGCAACCTCCGCAAAAAAGCTCTTTAAACCTACCCCGACTAGTACTGAAGGGCACTTAAATCTATTTTCCTGCTCAACATCTTCAAGTGCTCTCTTGCACTCAAGAACCAGCTTAGAGCTAATTTTGGGTGCTTTCAAAGCCATTAGCGCTGATTACGGTCAGACTGTAGAGATGGTCTTATTGGAGAAAGCCCTATCTATTTTTTCCTGATCACATACCAGGATCGCAAATATCTTGGCTGGCCTGAAAAACTGATGCATGGGAGCCGTGAGCTCGGCTAGATTTAAATCTGGTTCCGCTGTCATATACTCCGGCACCTGCCCTATTGTCTATTCTGGATCAATCCATGAACCAGGTGATCCTGTTGCGACAAATAAGTGTAGACTCTCATTCTATCCATTTATCCCGGTCACTTGGTGTTCATAAAATTAACTGATATACCGTTATTTACACGCTTTATCAGACTACCATTTAGCCTAAAAGAATTGCGTCATTAATTATCTTATCCATTCTATACCGGGAGTGACCATAGATTGGTTAGAGCGAATATAATAAATAAAACATTCTACACTAAACATATTCGGTAAATACACAACCACAACAACAACGTACTAAACGAACAATAATTAACATCGGCTCAGAAGAAATACCGGACATAACCGACTATGAAATAAGAATGGCCCTAAATCAACTTAAAACGAATAAATGTCCGGGAGTGGATAAGATTACAGTTGAAATGTTGAAAATTGGTGGCAGAAAAATGGAACAGGTATTAAATGTTTTATTTAATAAAGTAATTGATGAAGGAAAGATTCCTCAAGAATGGTACAACTCCGAGGTCATTTTACTATTCAAGAAAGGAAACAGAGAAAACATCGAGAATTACCGACCAATATCCTTACTATCACATCTGTATAAATTACTAACTAAAATCATAGCCAACCTCCTAACCCATAAGCTCTATTTCTATCAACCTATCGAGCAGGCTGGATTCAGAAAACAGTTTAATACCATAGACTACTTGCACACCGTAAGAACACTAATAGAAAAATCTCTATAAAATGCACGTACAGATTCAAGATACACTAACATAATTAAAAACATATATGAAAATGCCACCAGGCAGATAAAGCTGGACGAAAACACAAAAACTAATCCCATAAGACTACAACGGGGAGTAAGACGAGGAGACACCATCTCTTCCAAACTATTTTCCGTTGCTCTAGAAGACATTTTTAAGAAACTAGAATGAAACAACGAGGGTATCAACGTCGACAGATCATACTTAAACCACTTGAGATTCGCAGATGACAGTTTAAATAACCGATAATATCCAAGAACTGAATGATGTGTTACAACAATTAAATGCAGTTTCAGGAGCGGTAGGCTTAAAAATGAACTACAATAAAACAAAAATACCGAGCCGAGACCATACAAATATAACACTACAAAATCATACCATAGAAAATGTTGAACATTATGTATATCTAGGTCATGTCATCAAACTAGGAAAACCAAATCAAGATGCTGAACTTAAAAGAAGAACACAACTGGCATGGGGCGCTTTCAGCAAACTAGCGTATATCTTGAAAGACACCTCCATTCCTGTAAAATTAAAGAAAAAGGTGTATAAGACATGCATACTATCAGTTTGTAACTACGGCTTGGAGATAGTAGCTCTTACCAAAAACCTGTTAAATAATTAGAAACAACGCAAAGAGCAGTGGAACGAATTATGCTTGGAATATCATTGAGAGACAAGATTAGAAACACCGAGATAAGATTAGGGATATTGTGGAAGAAATTACAAAAATAAAATGGCTCTGGGCAGGTCACGTAGCCCGATATAATGAGAACATGTGTTCACGGAGAATTCTAGAATGGAGACCAAGTACGACAACAAGAAGCATGGGAAGACCTAAAAAAGGATAGATATATGACATAAGAGCAGTGGCAGGCAAACAGTGGATTAGATTGGCGCAAGATAGATAAAAATGGAAGCAATTGGGAAAGACCTACATTCAGGAGTGGATTTAGTGTGGAAAAGTGGTTTACAAAGACAGATACTTCCTGTAGCTATGATACGTCGAAAAAATATCTAAAAATATGTAGGTCAAGATTGGCTTTAAAATTTGTGCATTAAAAGTCACTCTATTATTTTGTGTTTAATATAGTTTGTATGTATTCTTTAACAAGGATGCAGCATCCCTTTTGTCTTAGAGATCATTAAATTATTCATAATAACTTCTTCCGATCATTAGGTAAAGATGCCCAAGATCCTTCTAATATGGATTTAATTTTGGGGGTGATATATTATATTCGAACTTTGGGAGGGATGTATGCAAAAATATAGAATAATGTTCTAAGTGCCCATTAGTTTTTTTATTTCTTTGCTATAAGTGCATGTCTATTTTAAATTTAAGTTGAAAATCCAGTGTAGTTTAAAACACAAAACATTGATAGGTAAAACAGTTCTTCTGTTCTTCTTATATTGGAGTATGGAGTAAAATCGTGGATATTAATTGGGGTGTCGATGAAAAAAGTTCAAAGGGGTGGTAAAGCGCAATATAAGATGCTGTTTCCAGTTAGCATTCTCTAGCTTCTCCTACTCAATCCCTATCGTCACCTCCACGAAGTGCGGCTTGGGCTGCACGGGTGAACCCTGGAAAACCTGAGCAACTTTGCTGGAGATTGGGTAACCAACCCCAATGGAAGGCAGGGTCAGGGCTGACGAGGAAGGGAGAAATGGTCCTTCGAAAAGGGGGTTGGTAAGCAAGGTTAGCAGCCTACCTACCGTCAAAAAAATTAATGCTTATACAACCAAACAGAAGCCTCGGAATTGGACGGATACACAGATGACAAACCACGCAAGAAAAAGGAAAAAGAGATCAAATAATATACGAATTGGCACTTGGAACATTGCATCGTGGAACAAATGGGAACAGAAGGTTGTGCATGAATTGAAGCTCCATAAAATTGATATAATATGTGCTCTGAACGAAACAAAAAAGAAAGGGAAAGAAAGTGCCAATAGAAACAAATTTATATTTTTGTACAGCGGAGTAGATAAAAGCAAACGAGCTCAGGCAGGAGTAGGCCTCTTAATGCACAATAAATATAGTAACAATATTTAAGAAATAAGATACATTAACGAACGTATGATGCTGGTTTGCTTTGACCTTCACCAGAAGATACTTAATATTATCCCCGTATACGCACCGAATAATAACAAAAACAAAGAAGACAAAGATGCTTTTTATGGACAGCTTCAAGCCTGTGGCTAGAGTTACACAAAGATTTAACGAAGAAACGCTCAACGACAATGGGAAAGACTTCTAGAACTTTGTTTAATGAATACCTTCCGAATAAACAACACATATTTTGACCACCAATACAACATAAGATTACCTGATCAGATACAAGAGGACGTAACTCTATGATTGACTGTCCTATAACAAACAGACAAATACACTACAAGAATATAATAGATGTGCGCAGCTTATCTTCCGCCAATGTAGGATCCGACCATGGCTTGGTACTAGGAAAAATAAATATAGTAATCACCATACAAGGCAAGCGAAATACAAAAGTAGAAGAAAAGTTTAACATAGAAAGCTTAGAAGAAGAAGAGACACAAAACTTGTATAGAAACAGACTAACAGAAAAGCTAAATAACCATAACCTAGAGATTAAAAAGAATATAGAAGAAACCTGGAGAATTATTAATAAATGTATCCTACAAGCAGCGGAAGAAGCTTTAGGTAAAAGAAAAGTTAACAGAAATAAACAGGAATACAAAACTCCATGGTACGACGAAAAGGTAAAAGCACTAGTAAATAAAAAGAAACAAGCTTTCCTAAGATACAAAGAAGTGAAGACTCCGGAGACACGAGGAGACTACGTGAGAATCAGGAATAGAGGAAACCAAGAAATATATAACATCAAACAAGAAAACTGGGAGAAATTTACCAAAGATATTGAATACGACCTCTAGGATCCTAGAAAAAGGTGTGAAATATGATAAGAAGAGAAAAAACAGAAATGAATGAATTTGTACGCATAGATAACATTACGGAGGAACAATGGACCGAGCATTTCGCAAAATTATATTAAGAAGGAGAGGAAGAGAACAGAGAAATAATCATTAAAGAAAACCCACGATAGAGTACTAATATCAGAAGAAGAGATACAAGAACGAATAAAAAAATTAAAAAACCGAAAAGCACCTGCTCCTGATAAAAAACAATAAACTGCTAAAATATGGAGAAACAACACTACGCAAATGGTTCCTAAAATTATTCGTCGATATAATAAATACCGGGGTAGTACCAGCGGAATGGAAAAAAAGTCTCCTGCTACCGATACTTAAAAAGGAAGACTCAAGAAATCCTGAAAATTATAGAGGCATTAGTCTGATGAATAGTACATTAAAATTATTAACGGCAGTCATAAAAGATAAAATCGAGGAAAATTGAACATGACAGATGAATAACAAGGCTTCCAGAAGAACCGCAACACAATAGACGCAATTTTTATTATCAGACATATAATACAGAAGTGAATATGGAAAACCAGCATATGTGTGCTTTGTAGATTTAAAAAGTGCTTTTGACAGGGTGAAGCGAAATGACATCTTAAATTTATTATACGCTGAAGAAATAGACCATCAGATAATAAGGACAGTTAATGAAATTAACAAGAACAACAAAACCAGAGTTAAAATGCCAACAGGAGAAA